AAAAAAAAAAAAAAAAAGACTGGAGATGTAGCTTAGTGTGAATGCCGAGTTCAATTTCCAGCGTGGGGGGGGGGGGCAACGTCATACAGCAAGTTAAGTGGCACATCAAAAATTTGAGCCAGGCTGGGGATGTAGCTCAGTGGTGCCTCGCTTGAGTTCGATCTCCGGTATCAGAAAGAAAAAAAGAAAGAAAGAAAAAATTTGAGCAAAGGGCCAGGGATGTAGCTCAGCAGCACAGAAGCTGCTAGCAAGCATGAGGCCCTGAGTTCCATCCCCAGTACGGTACCCAAAACAACAACAAAAAAATAAGCCTAGGTTAGGGCCGGGGATTTAGCTCAGGGGTTCCGATGCCTGCCTCGAAAGCGCAAGGACCCTAGTTCAATCCCTGGTACCAAGAAAAACAACCAAACAAAAAAATGAGCCCAGGTTAAACTCAGTGCTTTCCGCAGCTCTTGTGGTTGTCAAGATCACTGTGTGTAACCCACTGAAAGGGAGGAGACTGAGTACAAAGATGCAGATTCCTGGGCCCTGGGAGTTGAACCCAGAGTCTTGTGCACAGTAGGTAATCTCTCTACCACTGAGTGGCATGTCTCCAGCCCTTTTTATTCTGTGGGACAGGATCTCACTAACTTCACCAGGGTGGCCTTAAATTTGTGATTCTCCCCTCTCAGCCTCCCAAGTAGCTGGGATTACAGGAATGTGACAATGAACCCAGCTGTTTGTTTTTGACATGGGATCTTGCTGTATTGCCCAGGCTAGTCGTGAACTTCTGGGTTTAAGGAATTCTCTTGCCCCAGCTTCTCAGGTAAGGCTTGGTAATCTCTTCTCTTTTATTTTGATACCGGGGATCAAACTCGGGACCTTGTGCTTGCAAGGTAGGTGGTGGCACCACTGAGCCAAATCCTGGCCCTGGTAATCTCTTTTAAACAAACTTTTCATCTGGGCATGGTGGCACACCTGTAATCCCAGCGCTCAGGAGATGGAGGCAAGAAGATTGTCATGAGTTTAAGGCCAGCCTGAAGTACATAGAGTTCAAGACCATCATGGACTATGTTATAAAGAATCCATTTGTCAAAAAAACAGCCTGTTTGTCGTGAGAAAAAGAAAAGTTTATTCCAGTGAACAGGGACTAAAATCAAAGAGATTCTAGCAGTTAGTGGGGAAAGATTTCATCTGTGAGTGGACGGGCTAACCTTGGAAGAGAGAGATAGCAGCCAGCAGGGAAGGAGGACTATACTTATATAAATTTGGGGGAAGGAACTATAATCATAAGGAATTTTTATTTTTTATTTTTTGGTACTGGGGATCGAACTCAGATCCTTGCACTTGCGAAGCAGGCAGTTAAACCACTGAGCAAAATCCCCCAGCCCCATCATAAGGAATTTTTATGACTTGGGATGCCCAAGGATGGTCTTCTCATGTGGGTATACAGTTACTGGACTTCTCAGTGCCAGGGCGGTTGTAAACCACATTTTGAGTCCATTTGCCCTATTTACTAGGAAGCTGCTGTTGTTTGCTGAAAGCACCCTGTTTGCTTTTTCCTGTTGGTTTAGGGCAGGCCTGACAGACTATGCAGCAAGACCCTGTCTCAAAAAACAAACAAACAAAAACAAAGGAGCTTTCAGTTGTCTGTGGTGCCAGGGTCTGAGGACTACATTTGAGAACTCCTGATCTGGACAATGCCCAAAACACCCCCAAAGGGAAGAGTAATCTGGGGATAGCTGTATTTTGGGATCTGCCTCAGCCAACACAACTCCTGAAGGCTGAATTGAAGGGTGTGGCCCAATCCAGTCCCAATGCATCCCCACCTGGGAGGGATCAGGGCAGGGTTACCCTCAACCCCTGCAAGTTTGGGTCTCCCTCCACAGGTCTGGCCCCAGTAATTATTATGAACTGTTGGGTGTGCATCCTAGTGCCAGCTTGGAAGAAGTTAAACGAGCTTTCTTCACCAAGTCCAAAGAGGTATGAGTCCTCGAGAGGTGGAGAGGGAGGAAGAGGACATCTGAGCCAGGCAGGGGTGCACTCCAAGTTCCCAGGAGTAGACCTGTGTTTCTGGTGGGAGCCACATTCCCCCATGGGGATGGAAGGTGCTCAAAGCTCTGCCTAAGCAGGAGGAATGGCTGGGTGCAGGAACCAGGGACCCTGCCTCATGGCTGGGCTTGCTTTTCTGGACTTCTGCTCTTGAGAAACCTCTACTAAGACATATGGAGACAGCAGGGGGCTGGCAGTGGGGAGAGAGCTTAAATGAGGGGAGAGGGCAGGTGTCTGTGCTTCTTGATGTTCTGGCTGTCTTGAGGGGTCAACTAGTCTTAAGGGTGAGGGATCATTGCCCAGACAAGGCCTTTGAGAGTGATAGAGCCCTTTTGGGTAGATCTCATCAGGATGGGTCCTGGGAAGGGACACGGAAAGAGAGATAAGGGAAGTCCTGCCCCATCCCAGCTGCACCCTGACAGAGACCCTGGGAACCCAGCCCTGCACAGCCGCTTTGTAGAGTTGAATGAGGCTTACCACGTGCTCAGCCATGAACAGAGCCGCCGAAGCTACGACAACCAGCTCTGTTCAGCCAGCCCCTCAAAATCACCAGGGACCACAGCCTACCCCAGGTCTGCCAGACAAACACACAGGTACAGCAGTCCTGCCCCCACTTGCTGCTACCCCCAAGTCTCCTGGAGAGCCTCATCTCCACATGGTCCCCCCTCTGCTTCCCAGCAGCTCCTGGGCACCCCCCAATGAACAATACTGGGCCCAGTTTCATGGTGTGAGGCCACAGGGGCCTGAGTCATGGCGATGGCAGCAGAAACACAACCAGCAGGTGCTGGGGTACTGCCTCTTGCTCATGCTCGCAGGCATGGGGCTGCACTACGTTGCCTTCAGGTGAATCCCTGTCCTCCCCAGGGTGGTGGCAGAAGCTGGAAGGTGGGGGAAGCCTAGTGTGGTCAGCCAGCCAGCCACAGCATGCTTCGACCTGCATGCTGTCTCTCAAGCTAGGATTGCATGACCTTGCTATTTGGAGCCTCTCTTTACTTAGTAAAGGCAGTACTGCAAGGAGGGCTAATGTCATTTTCAGTTTTTCATAATTTGAATGTAAATCTTTGGTGCTAGCTGCCAGGAGGGCTGGAGTCAAGTATTATGCAAAGAAGCAAATGCATTGTGACTGAGCTTCCCCAGCGGCAGTCCTCATGTTTGTTGGTGTCCCCTGCCACTCTCTCATGTACACCATGATATAGATTAGTAAATCCAGCAAAGATAATCAGAAGCCAGCACCCATTGCCAGTAGCCTGACCAGTTCAGTGATAGAGACAGAGGCAGGACTCTTTTCTGGCCTCGAGGGGAGACCACCCCCACGACCAGAGCTGCTTCAGTGCCTTCAGCAGGACAGCCAGGGACGTAGGGCGCAATGAGACCCTGGAAGGCCCCGGCTATTCGGTGCTCCTCTCCTCCCCACAGACACACACCGGGGTCCCTACAGATGGAAAGCTGTGAGAGACCCTGGAGAGGGCAGCACTTGAGGGATAGCAGGGACCACAGAAATTGAAGTCCTTGGTTAACGGCAACCCCCTTGCAGGAAGTTGGAGCAGATGCACCGCAGCTTCATGGATGAAAAGGACCGGATCATCACTGCCATCTACAATGACACACGGGCCCGGGCCAGGTCTGTCCCCACTGTCCTGTCCCTGCCAGTCCTGGCACCACCCTCCTAGCTCCCCGTCCCGACCGCTCTGGTGCTTTCTCCTGCAGGGCCAACCGAGCGATGCTCCAGCAGGAGCGGAATCCGAGGCTGCACTCGCCGCCCTCTGGGGCTTCCCCAGGCGCCGGGTTCGTGCCCCCTGGCGCTGGCCCCTGAGGGGCTCTCTAGGCCCGCAGACGTTCGCTCCTCGCTGAAGCCCAGGCTTGGCCTATTCCCACGGCGCGTGCAATAAAGCAGTTCTCAGAGCTGTGGTCTGGTCCGCTTTTTCAGACCCCTTGCCCGCGCCCCCCGCCCTCCAGGGCGGCTACCCCGGAGTCCGGCCTCCTGGGCGGTACGTCCCCTCTCTGCTCCGCCCCTCCCCGCTCCTGGTGGGTAGCGCGTGTCTGGGTCACATGAGCCACCCGCCCTTCAGCCCGGGCCGATTCCCCGCATCCCCGCCGCCTCCGTTGCCCGCCACCGTCCGCTGCCCGCCCGGCTCCTCTGGACGCCGCCGCCGCGCGGGCCGCGCTGCGCTGCCTGCGCTCAGGGATTGGGAGGGGGCTGCGGAGGAGCCGCCCCCTGCGCCTGGCCCCCGCCCTCCGTGCCCTGGCCGGCGTGATGGGGCTCGGGCCGCCGCCCCCCGCACTGCCGGGCTAGGGCAATGCGGGTGCCCCCGGCGCGCGGCCCCCGTGGGCGCCATGCGCCCCCTGCTCCGCCACCTGCTCCTTGCCGCGATCCTGCAACTGGCCCCTGCCCAGGTACGCGGGGCCCCGACGGCCCGCCCACCCCACCGTGCCCTCTCAAGGTTGGCGGAAGTGGGGAGGCGCCCAGAGGCCTTGTCCTCCAGCTGGGACACTCGGGGGGCCCTGGGCATCCCCTGGGAGGTGCCCCTCCAAGCCGGCTGGCTCGCCCGCCCAGCCCTGGGCCACTCCTCCGCCCCACCCCTTCCCTTGGGCACCGCCACGGGGCGGAGCTGCCTTGTTGCCTACAGGACCTGGTTCGTGCCCACTGGGCCCTCTCTTGACCAGACCCGCAGGCCCCCAGCAGGTCCCAAGTGGCCAGGAGAGGACAGGTAAAGCTAGTAGTGAGGCCTTTGGGACAGAGCAATCTGGAAAGATGTCAGAGAGGAGGTGAAGCCTCCAAATTCCAGGGCAGAGCCCCAGGGTAGGCATGGGGCTAGCCCCTCCTAGAGTGCACCTGGGGTCCAGGTCTCTTCTCTCCACAGGCCCCGGTCTCTCAGCCTGATGGCCCTGGCCACCAGAAGAAAGGTAATAGTTACAGTAACTTGGCATCAGCCAGTACTAAGTGGTTTTGCCCCATGCCCTGATTCCAGGCTCTGAATGCCTGTCATCTTGCATAATCACAATTCTCCTGTAAGATGCAGACTATTATTCTTTCTGCCCATTTCACAGAGGAAGAAGTTGAGGCAGAGGGGTTGCTGGGTTCTCAACAAACAGGGCTGGGAAAGACAGGTGAAGAGGGCAGAAGAGGGGGTAGTTGAGGGTGACCCGGGGACTGGGGAAGACAGGTTCTGGGAGCAGCTGCAGGAAATCCAGTGGGGATTTAACCCTTATGGGTCTGCCCACAGTGGTGTCATGGATAGATGTGTATGCGCGTGCCACCTGCCAGCCTCGGGAGGTGGTGGTGCCCTTGACTATGGAGCTCATGGGTACTGTGGCCAAACAACTGGTGCCCAGCTGCATGACTGTGCAGCGCTGTGGTGGCTGCTGCCCTGACGACGGCCTGGAGTGCGTGCCCACTGGGCAGCACCAAGTCCGAATGCAGGTACCAGGGCAGGTGGGGCAAGCAGGCTGGAGGGACAGTGGTGCTCTGGGGGCTGGGCCAGCTCAAAGAGCAGCACACAGGAGGCTGGAGGTTGGCCACCAGGGTCCTGGCTATTGGAGGAGCCATTCTCTCCAGCCCACAGCCTATCACTGTCTGTCCATGTTCTTCTCCCGAGCACAGGTCCTCATGATCCGGTACCCAAGCAGTCAGCTGGGGGAGATGTCCCTGGAAGAACACAGCCAATGTGAATGCAGGTGCCAGCCAGGCCCAGCCTCTGAGCTTGCAGAGTACAGGCATGGGGGGTGTCGGGCGTGGCAGTGCCCCAGTGGGGACCAGGTGTCTAAGTGGAGCCAGAGGTAGGTCTGGGATCTGGGGCCAAAGAGCAGGATGCTTGGATTTTCTGATCTTTCTCCTCTCTTTGTCTTTGTCTGTCTTTCTTACTTTTCAGACCAAAAAAAAGAGAGAGTGCTATGAAGTCAGACAGGTGAGTCTCTCAGGCTCCTGTAGAAGTGGAGTTGGAGCCCAGGCCTAGCACCCAGGATATGATGTGTGGGTGGGCCAGGGGGTACACAAGTGAGTCACGAACCTGTGGTCCCCTCCCCTGTGTTACCCCCAACCTGTCCTCCCCATCTCTTCCTCTACTCTCCAAATCTGTGCACCCTGCCCAGCCCTAAGCTCCTGGGAAGATTCTTCCTTCTCTCCCCATACGTGTTGCTTCTCCTCCTAGGGCTGCCACTCCCCATCACCGTCCCCAGCCCCGCTCTGTTCCGGGCTGGGACCCTGTCCCTGGAGCACCCTCCCCAGCTGACATCACCCATCCCACTTCAGCCCCAGGCCCCTCTGCCCACGCTGCAGCCAGCGCCGCCAGCACCCTGATCCCTGGACCTGCCACTGCCGATGCCGACGCCATAGCTTCCTCCGTTGCCAAGGGTGGGGCTTAGAGCTCAACCCAGACACCTGCAGGTGAGCAGACTGGGTGGGGGTCGGGGGGGGGCACCTTTCTAGGAAGGCATTGAAGCCGTGTCCTAGGGTAAGTCCAGGGTGAGCCTGCCAGTGGGAGGAGGGCCAGGAAGGAGAAGCTGCTGAATGTGTTTAACAAATATTTACCAACTGTCTGCTGGCACTGGGGTCAGTGTAACACCAAGGACTATAACCTCTGCCTACATCTGAATTGGCAAATCAGACACAAAAGAGGTGATGCTGGTGCAGGATGCTGGGGCCTGTGTCGGGACCACTTGACATCATCTCTGAATGGCCAGACATCTCCTGGAGGTGGGGACATCTGCCTAGAATAGAAATTTGCAGAGCACTGGACCTTCTCAGGAGCCCCTGTGACAGACATTGCTCCACTGGGCTCTGAGAAACCAGGGGATGTGTTGGAACCTTTGGGCACCTTTGTCAGCAGTGTTTCTCAACACCCTTGTGTTCTTCAGTGAGGCCATGAGGTGGCCTCAGGCCAGCGGGCTTCCCAGGAGCATCAGGAGAGAATGGGGTTGGCAGAAGTTTATAGGAGTCCGTCAACAGGTGGTGGGGCTGAGCTCAGCCAGTATGAACAGATCTCTTCCTCCCCTCCGCAGGTGCCGGAAGCTTCGAAGATGACACATTGCTTTTCAGACTGTGAGGCCTCTTGCCTCATATGTTACATCCATGAGAGAAGAAAGGGGAACCTGAGACTAGCCCAACCCAAGACCTGATCCTGTTGGAAGCTAGGCCTGGGCCTCTCAGAGGACTCTCCTGCTGTCCTTTATCTCCCAAGGCTGCCTTCTGACAAAGTTGATGAGATGTGGTCCCAGTTTGGGGAGAGGGTGGTGTGCCGTTTCCATTTTCAACCACCCTGTGCATGTGACCATCTTACACCTGGCTCCTGCTTCCCTCCCTAAGAAGACCCCACACCTCTGCAAATCACAGGATTTGGGCTTTGGTATGAAAACTGTGATTTCCCCCAACCCTGATAAAAGAGGTGGAAGGAGCTATCCCTGTGTCACTGTTTGTCACTATCCAGGCTGGCTGGTTTGCATCACTGCCTCCTAGACCTGGTTTTACCCACTAACTGTGCTGATGGAGGAAGTGAGGCCAAAGGTCCCCCAGCAGATTCCAGTAGAGCCTGGGTCATGGATTCATCACTTCCCTGGTAGCATCAATGGGCATGGGAATCCTTACACCCTGCTTATCACAAGGGTTCTGCCCATTGTGGCCAATAAACTTGGGGTAGGACCCCAATATGCTGAGTGACCTTGGTTCTTACTGCCTTTTGCTTGTTTGTTTTGAGACAGGGACTCACTATGTAGACAGGGGCTAGTAGCCCAGGCTGGCCTTGAACTCAAGGTGATCCTCCTGCCTCAGCCTTGTGAGTGCTGGGATTACAGGTGTACACTACCACACCCAGCTCTTTTTTTAAATGTATTTTTTTGTGATATGGGAGATTGTATCCAGGGGTGCTCTACCATTGAGCTATATCATTAGCCTTCTAAATTTTTATTTACTCATTTTTCAGTGCTGGCATCGAACCCAAGGCCCTGTGTATACTAGGCAAGGACTCTACCTTTTTATTTGAGACAGTCATGCTAAATTGCCCAGGCTGGCCTTAAATGTGTGGTCTTCTTGCCTCAGCCTCCTAAGCAGCTAGCATTACATGAGTGGGTCACCATTCCTGGGTGCCCCTTTCTGAACCTCAGTTTCCACATAGGCAGATGGAGAGAAGAAGTGATTGCTGTGGTCAGGGTTGTTGGGCTCCAGACAAGTTCAAGTCTGTCTTTACATAGTAGAAAAAGACCATCTGTTTTCCCTGCTGGGTAGCACTTTTAAGTGTCTCTTGCTTTAGCTCCCTGCAGTGGGGCTCTAAAGCACACACCTTCCTCGCCCAGCCTCACTCCGTTCTACTTTAAAGGGAAGTACCAAAGGTCTTTCTGTGGCTAGTGGGTTTGGTTTAGGAGACAGTCTCCTCCCACCTCAACCCACAGTCTTCACCTTCCCCTCTCTGCCACCTCCAGGCTCCTTCACCTGATGCTGCTTGACTCCTGAATTGTTTGACCAAAGCTTACCCTCCAACTTCTCCCTGTGGCCTCCAGTGCTGGGGGCCAGCCACCAGGACTAGTGCTTGGCCCTGCTAAGGCACAACCTGGAATAGTTAGCCCAAAAGGGCTGGGGATTTAGCTCAGTGGTTTCGATCCCAGGTACCAAAAAAAAAAAAAAAAAAGCCCAAAATAGCCACCCTAATGGAGGCTTTCCCCGAAGTGTTGGGTTTGGGGATGTGCTTGTGATCTTGGTGGGCCCAAGGGAGGGATTTGGGTTAAGCTTTGAGAGACAATGATTGATAGTGATCACTTTTAAATCATTTTTGGTTTGGTTTCTTTTTTTTTTTGGTACCAGGAATTAAACTCAGGGCCTCGAGCTTGCCTGGTAGGCACTGGGCCGCTGAGCTACATCCCAGCCCACTACTTTCAAATCATTTTCTCAACTTTAATGGTCATATGGACCTACAGCTAACACCTGTGCACCCACTTAACCCCTAGACAAACTTGCACAAAGGTTCTCATGTATCTCCTGGCTTTATCCTCAGTTCTGATGTCCAAGGTCCAAGTTGTGATTATCCTCCATTTATAACTAAGCAAATAGGCTCAGAAAGGCAAAATGGTCTGGGGCCTTGCCTCAAGTTGCCTCCCTAGGAGTCAGCACGGGATTAGCTGCCTCTCAAGTTTGTTACATCAGTTAATGGATGTCTACAGTAATGGGCACTGGTGCACGCTGAGGTGCCTGAAAATAACTGGTGTAGGAAGTGGCCCGTCTGACCATTACAGTCCTGACCATGCCTGCACCAGGCCTGCGTGCTCAGAAGGGAAGGGCCCCCCACTCCAAGGCAAGGCCTGGAACTACACTTTGGCTCAGCCTTACAGGGGACCTGTCGGGTGGGTGCCTTCAAGCACATTTACCAGAGGCAAAGGAACATGGTCAAGGTCGCACAGCCAAGCAGTGACAGACCTATTATTAAAACCCGGCTCTTTCCCCAGCAGCCAACGGACCCTGAGGTAGGCAAGGTAGCAGTGGGAGATACTGGGGGCGAAATAAGATGGCGTCTCAAGACCCCCTCGGGGAACCCACGCCTGCTTGAATGTCCTCTCCGTCCGCCCGAGGTGTCTTTGGCCCTCTTCAAAATCACATTCTTCGAACCACGCAGAGTGCAGTTCCAGCGGAAGTGTCGCAAGATCACGGGGCGATACGAAGGCGGAGCCAAGGACTAAACCGCGCAGTAGCGGGTTTCCCAAGATCCAATGAGGGAGGGCGGCGTAGCTCGGCCGGTGGCCTCGAGGACGCGCCTGCGCAGAGGCGGCAGCACGAGCAGGGTTGACTCCGGGGGCGCGGCGAGGAGGTGAGAGGGGGCCACAGCCCGGGCTGGGGGGAGCCGGGGTGCAGGAGGGCAGGCTGGATCAGGCCGGGCAGAAGCGGGCCGGTGCTCTGCATGCCGACGGGGGATAGGTGGTGAGGAGACGGGAACTGGGTTCGGAGCTGTCCGGAGATGTCGCAGAGGGAGGGTTCTCACGCTTCACGGGGCGGAGCCCTGGCACTGGGGGCGGGACGTGGGACTGAGCCTGTTGGGACATCTGAGCGGGTGAAGGTGGGAGGAGCTCGGCAGCTGGGGGGCGCTGCCTGGCCCTTGGAGGAGCGGGAACTGGTGGAGGGCGGAGCCTCGGGTTTGGAGACGGAGGGGGGCGGGACTCAGGCACTAGGGGCGGGGCTTCATCTGGTGAGTGGCGCGGCTCCGGTTCAGGAAAAGAGGTCTAGTTCAGCTGAGGGCGGACCTGCGGGTCAGGGGGCGGGACTTCGCTCTGTAGGGGGCGGAGCCAAGGAACCTAGCGAAGGGTTACGTCCGAGTAATGCCCCTGGACGTCCGCGCGGGGGCGGTCTCCGTGGTGGCCGTGCCTGGGGACGCGGTAGGCCGAGGACTCCTCCGGGAGAGGTGGTGTGGGTGGAGCGGGCTCGGCGGCCAGCGGACACGGGCCCAGTTTGGGTGCCCCGACGGCCCCCGAGGGCCCAGAGCTGGGGAGGCGCCCCAGGCGGAGACAGTGGTGCGGGCTGGGGGATACCTCCGGAGGAACGAGGTTCCCCGGAACCGCCCAGCGGGGATGTATGGGTGCCTCGGGGTCGACCCCCCGCGGCAGCTGCAGAAGTGTGGGTATGCTGGGCAGGGGGCAGCTGGGTGTGGCGTGAGTGGGGCCGCCCAGTTAGGGCAACTGCTGTGCAGCCAGATAGGGTTTGGACTTTGCGTAAGGGGACAGGTGGGAACTGAAGAGCAGAGGTGGAGACCAAGAGGGAGGGAAGGTCTGGGGGTGAGCAGAGGGGCAGGGCCTTGGCTGCTGTGGCCTCCCCTGACCCCCTCCCTTCGCTGCTGCTGGGGTCTTCGGCCAAGCCCCCTTCTCACTGCACTGGTAAGTGTGGCCATGGAGTCCGGGGGAGAGGGTGGTAATCTGGGACGAGGGGATCCCTTGGGCAGGCAAGGTATGGTGGGGTTCAGTCTTCCAGGATCCTGCTTGTGTTCCATACCCTCCTCCCGGTCGGTCGGGGTCTATGCCCACAGAAACATGAGGCTGAGCTGGGTCCTGACAGTACTGTCCATCTGCCTGAGTGCCACGGCCACGGGGTCCGAGGGCAAACGGAAGCTGCAGATCGGGGTCAAGAAGCGAGTGGACCACTGTCCTATCAAATCGCGCAAGGGAGACGTCTTGCACATGCACTACACGGTGAGGGGGTGGAGCTTCTTTGGTGGGTGGGGCTTATGGGGACCAGAAAGGACTTGGGAGCCTGGTTTGTCACCCAACCAAGTGGGTGATGGTGGGCAAATCCTCCATTGCTTCTAAGCCTATTCCCAGTGTTCACCACTGTCTACTTCCCAGGGTGGGTACCAGTAGGCATGACGGTACTGTGAGCTGTCCAAGGCTCTGTCTCCTACAGGATTATAGCCACCAGTGCTATGGGGGCCTGCTTGGTGGGGAGAGCATATGAATGAGGGGTGTCAAGAGTAATTCCTCATCATTAGTCTCTCCATCATCCCACAGGGAAAGCTGGAAGATGGGACAGAGTTTGATAGCAGCCTGCCCCAGAACCAGCCCTTTGTCTTCTCTCTTGGCACAGGCCAGGTCATCAAGGGCTGGGACCAGGGGCTGCTGGGGTGAGTCTGGGAGTGGGCCAGGGTGTGCATGGTCCTGGTTGAGGAGGTGAGCTGGGAGGCAAGCCTGGGGCTGGGGCAGGGGGTCTGGGAGCCTGGGTTTTGCCATATGCTAAGGATGTGTTGCTCTGCAGGATGTGTGAAGGGGAAAAGCGGAAGCTGGTGATCCCATCTGAGCTGGGTGAGAGGCTCTTCCTGGGGGATGGGGGTTAAGGGTGTGTTGAGGGAAGGGTGAAGGTGGCTTCAGCCTCACTGGTTTCCACTCTATCCATTCACTATAGTACATGCCTCTTCCAAGGCTAGCTTTGTCTAGCAGCAGGAACAGGGCAAGATGGGGCACTCAGGTGTAGTGCCTGTGCTATAGCTGGCCCATCAGACTCTTGACATCCCCTCCCATTTCTGCCCTACCCTCCACTCTGGCCCTCTCAAGGGTGCAAGATCACCCCTCCCTGCTGAGCTATAAAAGGGGGCCTGGCCCCACCTTACTTTGTTTCTTTCTCTTTTTTTGACACAAGTTCTCACTGTGTAGTTCAGGGTGGCCTTGAACTCACTATGTAAACCAGGCTGACCTCAAACTTGAGTCAGTCCTCCTGAATGCTGAATGCATGCACCACCATACCTGGGTTCACTTTGTTTCTTGTGCATCTCTCACAGGATATGGAGAGCGGGGAGCTCCCCCAAAGATCCCAGGTAATACCCCTTCTTATACCCCCATACCTCTCACTGGAGCCCAGGTTCCAGACTGACCCCACCTCTCCCTCCAGGTGGTGCGACCCTAGTGTTCGAAGTGGAGCTGCTCAAGATTGAGCGCCGGTCAGAACTGTAGCCAGCTTCAGAGGGGCGGGGGTGGGGGGGCATGAGGGACCAGACTGTTTAAAAAACAAAACAAAACAAAGCCCTTAAAAGCCCAAAAAGTGACCATGTGTTTCTTTGTGGGCCCTGAGAGACTTAGGTTAAAACCACAGCTTCAGGGGTAGGGTATAACTCAACTCAGTGGCTAAAGTACTTGCTTAGCATGTACAAGACCTTGGATCTCCCCCCCCCCCCCAAAAGCCTCAGCCTCCCCTCTGACTGCAGAGCCTCAGGGTCTGGGCCTACTGGCATAGCGACCCTTGTCCAGAGAGAATAAAAGTACTGAGGCCTGCCTGCGACACTGCTCCCCAGCCGCTTCCAGTGCCTGTCTGGTAGCCAGCTCTGGGCTATCGCCATGGCTACATGGCCCTTGAAGGCCTGCAGGCACCTGGGGAGAAGCTGAGCTGACAGCAGTTGTAGAGCAGCCTAAAAGACCAGCCAAAGGGCCAGGGATTTAGCTCAGTGGTTTCCTCGCCTGCTGCACAAGTGCAAGGACCCAAGTTCAATCCCCGGTACCCAAAAAAAAAAGAAAAGAAAAAAAAGAAATTCGTTCTGGGCCGGGGATTTAGCTCAGTGGTTTCACCACCTGCAGTGCAAGCACAAGGACCCGAGTTCGATCCCTGGTACAAAAACAAAAACAAAAAAAGACTAGCTGAGCCTGTAATTAGCTGCTCCAAAGGCATATCCTAGCTTTATTAAAGGGTCCACGCCGCAGAATCAATATAAAAACACAAAAAGTCCCATCAGTTTAATAACAATAAAAAACCCCAAAAATGGAAAACTGAGGGGCAAGGGAAAAGACCCCTAGGCCAGGGGCACGGAGAGCCCTGCTCATGGCACCAGGCCTGGCTGCAGGGTCCCCCGTTATTGCTGTTGCTACGAGGTCAAGGGGCAGCGATTGTCCTGTGGGAGCCACTGTTCATCTGGGCCAGGGACCCTCACTTCTTCTGGGGTGTGCTCAGCTTCTGCATGCCCCGGATCTTGTCTAGCAGGCCAGAGATGAAGGCCTAGATAGGAAGGGGGCATTAGGGAAGACTGGCCCCCAAGCTCCCCTCACCCCACCATCTGGAGAAACCACTTACCTCAGTGGGTTTGTAACAGTCAACCAGCAGCTCCTGGGAGTGAGGGGATAAGTATATAGTGAGCTCTCAGGGATGTAGGCCTAGAGCTCACACCACTTCCAAGGAGCTGGGGTCACCTGCAGCACAGGGGGGTCCTTGCTAGGCAAGGACCATCAGCCCTAGTTTTCAGAGGCAGAAGTTGAGGCCCTAGGTCCCAGAGCAGGCAGATCCAGACCAAAGGCAGCCTGGTTTGGGGCCTTGCTTCATCAAGGTACAGTGCCTCCTGGCAGCACCCCACCCACTGTCCCTACCCCCTAGCCCTTCTCTTACTTTGACCCTGGCAGCCCGGGTATCGTCACTTTCCATGTCCAGGAGCTCGTCCACATCAATCTCCAGCTCTGGGATCTCCTCTTCCTGGGGTGGGGGTGGGGGAGGAGGGAGACAAGGGCTTGAGTTGGGAGAGAAGGTGTGAGGGGCTGGCAGGTTTCAGTCCCTGCCTGTTTCAGGAGCAGACCAGCCCTTTGCCAAGCAGATGATGGCAGCTGCTCTGAAAAGGAAAACAGATCAGGCCTGTGCCAAGGCAAACTGCCTGATGTGGGGGGGGACTTCCTGTCCCTGCCATTGGGCACCCAGGGTGCCAGACAGCCAGAGCTGGGGACCTTGGACTGGGAACCCAGCAGATGTGTCTCCCCAGCATCCGGGCCCCCATCTCACTAAGAGCACTGGTAGTGCCAGCTGTCCCAGTTCATCACAGCCCCCCTCCCCTCCCCCAAACACCTGTCACAGCTTCCTGGGAGTGAGGAGGAAGTGAAGGGTGAGGGGTCAGGGGAAGGACCCATGTCTGGTAAAGGGGAAACAAAGAGCATAAGCTTTGGGGGAGGGAGGGGATGCCCACCACCCCTCCTCCCCAGGAAGCTGCTACCCTGGAGCCAGCTGCGTTCCACCTCCAGGCTAGAGCAGGGTAGGCAGCACCGGGCAAGCCCACTCCCCCACCCTGCCCCCTGGGGCCTGAGTCACCCTCTGAGCAAATAGGGAGTCATGGGGTGGAGAACCAGAGCCCAGAGCTGGCTGACCTGCCCCCACAAGATGGAGTTCCAGGCTAGCCCATTTAAACAATCGAGACCCTCCACAGTACCCCCACCAGCGCCTTTTAACTGGGGTCCAAAGCTGACTCCAGGCAGGTTACACCTCCTTCCACCGCCACCCAGGCTGGCCCTGCCCCCTGTCCAAGGCCAGGCAATCCGTCAGAGCTTCTTTGAGGACAGCTCGCTTGACTTGGGGAGTGGCACGAGGGAGGCTGGGTCTGAGAGACTTAAGTCAGATAAGAAAGAGCACACGCGGGGCGGGGGTTGGTGCGGAGAGCGGTTCCTGCCGAAGCGGGACACCCCGACTCGAATGACAGGCGGGCGGAAAGCAGGGCTAGGAGCAGGCCGGCTCAGGACCGACTTTAGGGTGTCGCGCGGGGTGGGGAACATACCTGGCAGTCGTAGAGGCGCGTGAGCTGTTCCAGGATCCACTCCTCCAGGTTGAGACGCTTCCGCAGCTCCTTGCGGTCATACTTGACTGTGACCTTCCCTTGGCGTCTCACTGGGCCCTCGTCGTCCGCGTCGCCCGAGCCCTCGCCCGCGGCCCCCGGGGGGCTCTGAAAGTACACGCGGGGGCCGGGGCCGCCACCGCCCGGCCCGGGGGCCGGGGCTGCCAACGCCGCGCCCCCTGCGGGGCCGCTGTCCGCCATGGCGGCCGCCGGGGCCACGTGCGCGCGTACGGCCCCTCCCTGCGCCACCGCCTCCCGGACGCCCGCCGGCCGGCTCCGGACCCTTGGCTCCTGCTAGGTTGCGGGCTCGGGTCCGCGCGGCTCCGCGGCTAGGGCGGCGGCGGGGGCGCCCGGGGGCAGCTGCAGCATGCGGAGCCCCCGGGCCTGGCCGCGCCCCGCCCCTCCCCGCCGATCCGCCCGCCCTTTGTCCCCCACGGCCGCCGCCCCGCCGCCGCCGAAGCTGCTTTCCCGTCTCGCTCCTTCCTCCGCCCCCGACCACACCCCCTTAAAGGGCCAGCCCTGTCGGGGCCCCCTCATTCTCACCCCGCCTCTGGAGAGGGACCCGGGCGGGCCTAGTGGGAAGGGGTCTCCGCCTGGCTCGCCTGGCTCTCTGCACCCCTAATTTAATCTTCTAGCCACAAACTAGGTATCCTGTGCGCCTGGGGGTTCGCGCTTCCGCCAGGACCCTAGTCCTTGAACCTTGTCTCTGTCCTCCGTGCAGCAGGAACTGGGGCCACCTAGGTATGGAGGGACGTGGGCACTGTGTGTAGGGCAGGGTCTGGGGAGCAATCTGGGAGACTCCGACATCTGGGACCCCCGACCCCTGGCCAGCAAGGGGCGAGTGCTCTTCTCTGCGCGGGCAGACACGTGTACGCAGCTCCACAGAGGGGCAATGGGAAGGCGGGCAGGACCTGCCCTGGTGCCCGACGACCTACTTGGCGGGGTCCCATGCCCTCCCTGAAGAAGTCCCGCGTGGAGGTGCCCCCCCCCTCATTTGAAGGGCCAGCTCCGGGCAGCCACCGCCCACCGGCCGAGATGGCGGCGGGGGCGGCATTGTGGGAAATGTAGTTCGCGGCCGGGCCCCGCGTGGCCGCCCTGCACCCGGTGGAGCCGCCCGGGGAGCACACTTGTGTGTGGGCCCCCTCCCCTCCCCGGCTTGGCATACCGAAGCGCGTACAGGGAAGGAAACTCCGGCGCAAAGAGGTGGTGAGCCGGGGAGCCAGGACTCAGGATAATGAAGGTAATACTCTGGCCCAGAATTCACGTTTATTCGGACCCCCACACAGTCCGCAGCTGGAGCTCCCGAAGCCCCTCTGTCTCGCACACCACCCTTAAGCAGGCTGTGCACCCTATTCCCTACCCCTTTGACTGTCTGCATCTTTAAAATGTCTCATTCATTTCTTCATCGTGTCTCCCACTTCTAGGTGGTGAGCTGCAGGAGAGAAGAGAGCTAGCTATGTGGACTTTGCTGACGCCCAGGCTTTGGTCTGCCGGCTCCCCTTCAAACCCACGTGTGTTAGGAAATTACCTGGGGCCTGCAGAAACCGGGCACCTAGAACTGTCAGTCTTAGAAGATGCTCCACACTGTTGAAACAAATAACTGAGTGAAAGAATGAGTAGGCAGGTGTGGTGAGTTGCGGCTAGATTGCAAATTCATGCTAGCCAGTGGGAGCAACTTAGCAAGACCCCATCTCAAAATAAATAAATAAATAAATAAATAAATAAATAAATAAATAAATAAAAGCAAGCCAAAATGACTGACTTCCTCAGAAGTGGCAAGGATTAAATAGGAAAATTTGGGGGAAATCGGATTGCTATACAACAGAGATTAATTGAGTCACAGGGTTAGATAAATGGGGAGCTGAAATTTTGAGCTCTATGAATCAACCCCCATCATCCCACTCAATTTAAAGTCTCTACTCGCTCCCTCTCCATCTTCCCTTGGACTCAACTGGCTTGTGCAGCCCAGCCCAGGCTGTCTCCATAACAGCAGGATCACCCTCTGGAGTTCCAAACAAGGTCTCAGGATCCAAGAGGCAGAAAGTCCCAGCCCCTCACAGATACCCTTTCTCTGGATGCTGGAGGAAGAAGTCCTCATTCAAGCAGAGTTCAGAGAGGGTTATAGATCAGCCCAGGGTCACACAGCTGGTCCTGCATCCAAACAAGAACCCAAGACTTTAGGCTCCTCCTTTACCCTATAGTGGATGAAGAGAAAATAGACTGTGAACAGTATATGTCAGGGTGAGGTGAGCTTCTTAGGCTTTAGCCAGAGAAGGGCTGACCCTTGCTCTTGCTAGTTAGGCAGGGCCACCCAATCAGAGCCTGACCTCCTGCTCCAATCCCTGCCTAATAGCATCTCTTTACCCAAGTCCAAATTTCCCACCATGCCTCACCTCACCCTGCCAGGGCAGGGCAGCTCTTTCTGAATCCCAGTATTGACTTGGGCCTGCAGGTGCTCATGGACTAGAGGAGGGACACACATGAATTGTCCCTTATGCCCAGCAGCTACTGTGGGAGTGGGTGACCCTGAGAACTGAGCTTCCTGTCCCCTGGGGGTGGTGTGAAGGTCTCCAGTTGAGTCCAACATGAGGTGCTCCTCTGAGGGCTCTCTGGAGCATGTCCTTTCTGCCTTTCCCTCTAGCATTTCCATGCCACCCCCAAGGCACACCCAAATTCCTGGGGCCAACTCCCCTGACCATCCAGTGCCTTCCCATGGCACTCACCCCAAGAACAGGGTACAGATGGCATGCTGGCTCGAAGCCTTGGAGGTGGGGCTGCTCCCTCCAAGAGCCTTAGTCTTGGAGTGGAAGGCCTGGGTTCAGATCCTGCCTCTGCCCAGTAGCTGGGCCCAGAGCTCACTGCATAGCAGCGCCTACCTCCCAGGCTTTGTTCTTCCTCCTGGACCCTCCTGGGACTGAAGTGTGTGGCGCTGCTCCTCAGCCTTCCAGCTTCAGGCTGTGGCTCCTGAGCCCCACCCTCCCAAGTCCTGGCCCCCTCCCACTAGAATGTGGCTAAGGCCCTGGAGAGGATCCCGTGGGCCACAAGCACTCCCTTAATCGAGGGTAGAGGCCGGAAGGGCTGCCTTCCTTCCACCATTACTGCTTGCCGAGAAACCCCATTACCATTAACAAGGCTAGGAGAAAAGTGTCCAAGGAGGAAGAAGCCCTCTAATGGGGGTGCTGCCTTGGCCTCAGGAGACATGGGGGTGGAAGGAAAAAGAGTCCCAAGCCCAGTCAACAGGCTACCCGCCTGTTTTCCAAGGAGCTGCTGCCTAATGCTTCTATGAAGTTCCTGTGTCTGAGGCTGAGGGTCCAAGATTCAGACCCACTCAACTCAGACCCTGGCTGTGGCTGGAAAGGTCCCCTGTCTTGGGGCTGGCTGGTGCTCTTTCCTTTCCCCCTCATGACACCATAGCTTTCCTCATGTCAGACTGTGTGTATGTGTGGGTGTGTGTGGGGGGGATGGAGTTCTCCCACCTATTTGCTTATTTCATCTTCTGCCAACTGCTAGCTTCTGGACAAGGAGACTAAGGCACAGAAAACACATTGTGCCATCAGCAAGTGCTGGATTTGAAGCCAGGCCTGTAGGAGCAGAGGCCAACCTTTCCCCTGCCCGACTGTGTTCTTCCAATGAGATCTGGTGGTCCCTGGGTCTCTGAGGGGTATGCCTCTGCCCTGGTGAGAGAAGACAGGGATCACAGGTCCTGTCTCCCCAACTGTCTCAAGCACAGGAAATGGAGACAGAAAGTCAGAAGGTTGAAATCCTCCTAACAAGTTGTATGACTTTGGGCAAGTCCCTTCCCCTTTCTGGGCCTCAAGTGTACATAATAATCACACCCCACAGTGCCAGGGCCAAATGCAAGCAGAGTCACTAGGTTAGCATTGGATAACAACATGATGGGGATCTGGGAGAAGGCTGAGGTCACAGCACTGCCTGGGAGGGTGTGCGAGCCTGGGGCAAAGGGGCTCAAAGGGCCACTCCTCCTCTGCTGACCCCTCCTCCCCCAGAACCAGCTCCATCTCTTTCTGGGTTTCTAGGTGACTTGGCTGGCCCCTCTGGATGAGTTCTACTTTAAACCTGCAGCTTGCCGCCGCCTCTGTATTGGGGGGGCTCCCACAGGGGCCCCCAGGCAGGAGCCCCCCCAGCCAAGCCCTGCGGGAGGGGCCACAGCCCCCACCCATCCCAGTGCCCATGCGCCTTACCCTCCTCCCAGCACTGGCACACAGATTTCAGGGCACCTGCTGTGGGCCAGGCACTGCTGAGCCCCTCCTTTGGGGACGCCCAGAAGGCTCCTGGCCCCTCTGGGCAAATAACCAGCCTCCTCTTCAAGCACATCTCAGTAGGGAGCCCACAGAGACAGCTGGGGTCACAGGGTCTGCAGCACCAAAGGTGGCCTTCCAGAGCTCACTCAGGGTGCCTGCGTGGCGGGGGGTGGGGTGGGGGTGG